TTATTGTTATCATGGCTATGGTTTGTGGCTTACATTCTAGAAATACTAGACTCCAGTAGTAAAAATAAATACACTTTTTTCTATTCAAGGTCACAGACACCCTGAATTATGAATCCCACATAAGAATCTTTTCTTTAAGAAACAATTATATTTTAATAATTATATTTATATTTTCTTAATTTAAAAAGTATGGAGAAGGTTAAAAGCCCGCAGAAACAAATGTGCCCTCCTGTAGTAGCTAACACTCCTGAGTATTTCCAATTGTAATACCATTTTTCATTTCTAGGAATTGGATTTAATTTTAAAAACCTTGCCTATTAGTTTTGTGTTTTATTTCCTGTTACATATTTATATATTTTTTTTCTTCTGAAAAACTCATCACATTTATTTAACATTTTGTTTCTTGGCTAAGTTTGTTATTTCCACTGATTTTCATCGATATAGACTTGTTTCATGGTATATTCTGTTAATATTGACTGTGAACGTGATGTGCCTACTTCGCTACCTTACCTGTGGTAATCCTTTGAGGCCTGAGTTTAAAGTGAATTTTACTTCTTTCAGAGGTTTGGGAGCGTCAGCCACCTAGGAATCTTTTCTACCAAATATCAGCTTTATTTTTGTTCTTGCGGTCCACATGGATCTTGTGACCAGAGGCCTGAATACCTGTGTGAATGGAGGATGATACCCAGCAATTTTTCCAAGTAGACTTTTTTCCCCTAGTCCCTTCTAAGAATGAGACAAGGAAGTACTATGTCAATGTCCCTTTGAAGTTGAGGTCTTTGGAAATCCCAGCATAGGTGGGGTTAGACTCCCACTCCCCTGATTCCCTTTTCCTGGGCCTTCTGACGTCTGCAGAAGCCCAAAGCAAATGCTGCCTCAAGCACTTGCTTACATCTCTGCTTATGTGCTTTCTCTAGAGAAGGACAGTACATACTAATTTGATTACTAAGTAAGTGAATTTCTATGCTACATAATCTCCATAACAGTAATTTTTCAGATTATATGACATGGTGTCTTGCCAATTAATTGAGAGTCCTTTTTTTTTTTAATCTGAGAATTTCTCTGATTTTCCTGCAGACTCAGCCATAAATCAGTTTACTTTAAAATTATACAGCTTTTATTTTTATTTCTTTGTTTGGTGATATTCTCTACAGAGAAGATTTCTTTGGACAGTTAGAAAACATTTGTCAGATTTAATTCTGATTGACATTTTGCTTAATCTTTTTTATCTTTACAATAATTCTGTGAGGTAGCTCTTACGGTCCCTTTAACTATAAATGTAGAAAAGAGAGTCAGAGAGAGGAGATGATTTTCTTGACATTATATAGCACTTTAGTGGTGATACTGGGGTTTAAAACAATGTCTGCTAGGTCACCGAAACTCACTTTCTCTCCTTTCTGGTCTCCTGGCTATTCTCTTATGCACTGGTGTAGCATTATATCACACACACACTGTATTAGAAAGATAGGACCATTCTGACAGAGATTTTGTCTTGTTTGTCCTCTCATGTACACCTGGACTCTAGGGTAGGACTGGCACATAAGAGAAGGTCCATATATATTTATTTGATCAATGAATAAGGGGATTTTTACGCTACCACATAATTGTCATAGAGGCAATGATTGGGGCTCTGTAGCATATCATTAAGTTTATTAGCTGAGAATCCCTTTGGGGGAAAAGCAGTATCTTTTTGACTTATTCTAGAAATAAAAAGAGGGAAGATCTATATACCTTGCAATTGTAGTGTCTGTCCTGTAAATACAAAAATTCTCTGGAATGGATTCATTCATTCCTGCTACTGTCTATCCAATAAGGCCCAGATCCTTTTCAGTGCTTTATTTTATTTTTTGAATCAAGCCACATCGCAGGGTTCCTACAGCTCAGATTTCCGCACGGGCTGATGTGCTTCTGGTTCTGAGGGCTTCGGAGGTGGCTCCCTTTCATCTCCGGCACTGTTCAGGGGATTAGTCACAACAGAAACCTGATCTTAGGCACTTCTTCTGCTGTGCAGCTGACCATGAAGCAAAGTAAAACTGCAAACTATTTATAAATCAAGCGGTTACAGGTGCAGAGGACAGATAAGAGTTCAGCTTTGTCCAGGTTGGAAGACCATTTTTACTGAGTTCCCTTGTTTAGACTATGGTAGCATAGGTTCAAATTTACAGAATGGTCCAGGATTTTTAAAGAAGCGTGTGTTGGAGCTGAACTTACTTTCATTTCAGCTGCTTGGGAAGTCTCACTGTCAGAGTTTATAGGATAAATTGAATTTTTTAAAAAGCAACAACTGTTTTTAAGTACCTGCTGTAAGTTAACTCCATGAGATGTAGGCGGCAAAAAAATTCTCAAAGAAGACAAGGAAAGCAGTAACATTAGAAGCTTGCTAGGCTGCCTTATGTGCACACACTTGGCAGATTCCCGCAGGAAGCAGCTCCTTTTGCTGTGGGTAGGGATGGCTCTGCACACTGGCCTTTTCGCTGGGGCTGCTCTTACCTCCCTCATTTCTCCCCACATGGTCTTGACAAACACATTTTTCTCATCATTATTTCTTCCCTTCATCCTCCTCCTTCTAGCCTAGATTTGTGTCTATGAATTGCTAATAGATGGTATTCTTGCTTATGAAGAATCATTAGAATCTCCATGAAGAGAGAGGGAAAGTCGGGTTCTATTTCCTTTTCATCCTGGGGATTACCTAGGAAACAACTTTCCTAGTTTTGTCCTTGAAGTTCTTTTTTCTATATCATATATTCAGTCCCCAACAATTCTTAGATGCCCACTTACTTTTGTTTATTTGCTAGTTTATGCACTAATTTATTTTACTTTTACCTCTTGGGGACTTTCTTGTTTCTCAAATTTTGAAAGTATCGACTGTGCCAATTTTTGGCAAATTAGTGGTTTGAACCTCCTATAACAAATTCAGTATTTTTACTCCAACAACATTTTTTTAAACATATGTGACATTTCTCCCAATTAATTCCCTGGAGGGTTATATTCTCTGCAAGGGTTGTATTTGCTTAGTGCATTGTGTCAAACATTTTGAACTGAGCTTCACAGGTTTATTTTTAGATTTGAGATGTTAATATATACAAAAATACTAAAATGTTTAGGTTCATGGAATAAATATTGATTTTCCAGAGGTCTGATATGTTCCTTTTTCAGTTTCTTCCTGCAATTATATATCCATTCATTATTTCCATAACAAAAAATCCAAAACACAGTATCTTTGTTCCCAGCAGTTTGCAAGTACAGAGTGTATACAAACTAGTAAGGTGTGGACTCTGTCATGGAAAAAGGGAAAACACACTGAATATGTCAAGAAACAAGAGCAATTTCAAATTGTGCTGCTATGAACATAGGTGCACATATATCGCTGTGATATGATGTTTTTAGAGCTTCTAGAAAAATACCCAGAAGGGAATAGCTGGGTTGAATGGGACCTCTAGAACTCGTTTTCTGAGGAAATTTTGTATGTATGTATTTACAGGATAGTTAACATAGTTGTTTTACTGTCTTCTATTTCTTTGCTAAAAGAAACTGTTAATGAGTCCTTGATTGATCAATATTGCATATCTCTATCTGTTTTCATGTGAAACCACTTTGAAGATATCAATATGTAATACAACAAGCATTGTTAATTTCCCACTATTTTGTCTGTAACTCTGTATTGTCTGTACTGTTCTTTTGCTATTTTGTAAAAGGTTGTCTGTCTGTTAATGTTTTCCTCCTTTTATTTTTAAAATTAAAAAAAGAAAGAAATCAACCAATAACAAATGCTGGAGGGGCTGTGGGGAAAAAGGAACTCTTCTCCACTGTTGGTGAGAGTGTAGACTGGTGCAACCACTGTGGAAATCAGTCTGGAGATTCCTCAGTAAAATAGGATTAGAGGAATTCAACCCAGCTAATCCTCTGCTCGGTATTTCCACAGAATAACTAAAAACATCATACTACAACAATATATATGCACCCATGTTTATAGGAGCACAATGTGTAATAGCTAAATGGTGGAAACAAGCCAAATACCCATCAACTGAGGAATGGATAAAAAAGATGTGGTATTTTTAATAATGGAATATTACTCAGCTATAAAGAAAGATAAACTTGAGGCTTTTTTAGGTAAATGGTTGCCACTACATACCGTACTAATAAGTGAAATAAATAAGGCTCACATGTATAAACAT